ACAAAATTTTCGAGAAATCTCATTGGTCGACAGGTGGGGACTTGCACGCCCACATCGTGCCTAACAAAATTTAAAGCATTCTCATTGGTCGAGAGCCTTGCGCAGAGCAAAAAACAACGCTGACTGGCCCCAACCAACGAAAATTAACACAAAACGTCGCCAATTTTTCCCCACCACACACGCCGAGGCTTCTCATTGGTCGAAACACATTGGAAGTCCCGCCCACATCCGGTCTCCGTCATACCCCCACCACAATTTGGCTCCCCGTGCCTAATTTTGTGGTCCAGAACATACATGGCTATACTACTATCGGCGTCATGGAACTGTACAAAACATTGTGAAAAAATAAAGGTTTTAATCTTTTATCTTTTTTAATTTTATTGCGGTTGCAATAATGACTGCTCGCTTAAGAATTTTATTTTAAGCCAATATATATATATATATATACTTCAAAATTTTCAAATTAAAACAGTCACATTTTTTTAAATATAAATTAAACATTCTTAAGTACATTTTAATTTTTTTATTTTTTTTTCTTCAGATAAAGCAATAAGCGAACAAACACAAGTATCCGGACCATCTTCAACTATATCATCTTTCGACCATGGACATCCAACGTAATGTAAATCAAAAGAAGTCAATTTTTCATTTTTACAGTCAACTTGTCTGTTGAAATCGAAAGAATTCATTTCGGTGAGCAGGCAAGATTACTCTCCACAGAGATGCAAAAATTCGTCGACATGCATCTTTCAAGAAACAAACTGATGTAGACACTTTACAGTTGTTTCTATGTTCGGATACATAAGTGTGGTATATATAAATTTTAATAATTAATATTATGAAAATTATATAAATCAATATTCAATAATTAAATGTTTACAATTTTATTCATATATTCACTCATTCTTTTTGGTTAACACATATCTTTACGAACTCTCATTGGAGAGTTCCCACCTGCATCACTTCCCCAACACTACAGTGTTGAATGCGCCTAACAAAATTTTGAAAACTAGTCATGATACCATCAATCTAAAAATAATTTTGTGATTTAAATTAGTAATAGCATCATGACCGTAAAATTATTATGTTACAGATTTATGCAAAAAAAAACAACGATTTTTTTACATCTGGTGACAGATTACTATTTTTTGTTATCGGATTACATTTTTTGCTGGCATCAGCGAAATTTTTTGGAAGCTTAGCATTATTTTTTGGTATCGGATTACATTTTTTGCTGACATTGCAAAATTTATTTTCTTTATTCAGCATTTCCCCACTCCAATTTTTTTCCCGTAGCAGGAGCAGCTTTCCTGCAACAGCAACAAATGTAACTTTTTAAAAATTAATTAATTTTATATAATATATAAAATATAATTTTAATTTCTTGTTTTTAACATAAATCAACTAATTCTATAAAATGAATTAATTCTTATTTCACGTATGTATAAATTTGAAAATTATATTTTAAAGTAAAAATATAATTTATATTTATTTCTTTTTGAGGAAATAATTGATCTCAGGACTCCCATGCATGTGGGAGGGACCTCCACGCAAGAATTTAAACAAATTTTTATAAACAATGTTTTGGGAAGTAACTCCATCCTGATTGAGCTGGAGAACAAATCTCCACCTCCACCTTCAGCCAATGAAAATGAACCCACAATCACAACCCGAGCCCCAAAAAATTAAAGTCTTATCCAACATAAAGATCCAAAAAGTGGTTGGTGGCAGAATTCATTCAAATTTAATCAGTAAGTAACCTAGGCTTTAGCCTTAACTTCATCGTAAAAGGTGAGATTAAAAAAAAGTACCATAATCCGAAAAAAGTGTTTACCTTGACACGAAAAAAAAAATAAAAAGTGGTTGGTGGCAGAATTCATTCAAGTTTAATCAGTAAGTAACCTAGGCTTTAGCCTTAACCGTGAAAAAGAGTATGTAAACAAAGGACAAACATCTTTAGCTACCATTCAATGTTGTGTAATCAGTACAATCAGGTGCTGTCGTTATTTTATTACATTTAAAGGTTGGGATTCATGTGACCATGGTGATAGGTGCATTGAGTGTCCATCGCTTCATATATTCTAATAAGACCTTGCAATGTAGTTGTGGATAATACAAAATTTATTCAAAATGACGTTTCTCTTTCACAGTTTAAGGAAAATTCAGTACCATCTTTTACGCAAGCTTTGAGTGAGGACAGTACCGATCTTTTTTTACAAAATATGTTTTGATGTTTAGTCATCTGAGTCAAATAGAGCAGGATTTGGCTAGTCACACTGCTGCAAATGAAATTGTGGATTTGAATAATGATCATGATTTTATGGATGATTCTCCAATACAATTTGATAATACATCATTACCAGTTTTAACCCCATTTTTAGGTGGAGATGGTAATGAAAGTAATTTTTCATTATCTTTGACAGAGCAGTATGTGGCTAATAGCACTGCTGCAAATTATATGCCTCAGATCTGCCCCATAAATCTCTCTCCACAAGAGTTAGATTTTATGTTAGAACATTGGGATTCGGTGATGGAAAACGCTATTCCACCTCCACCCACATCTCCATCTGAGCTAATAACTCAAACAATTATTGAAGAATTTAGCAGCAGAATTTCATTGCAGTTGCAATAATCACAAAACACTCAAATGTAGGATACCTGTAAGTACGCAAGCACCACGTTTGTTGTACCAATTCTTGATGGAAGAAATTACAAATCCCTATAAAAAACAAATTACTGTTTTTAATAGAGATGAACCAAAAATCAACATCGTTTCAAATATTCTAATTAATCCTTGCAATGCAGTTGTAAATAATACAAAATTTATTCAAAATGATGTTTCTCTTCCACAATTTGAGGCAAATTCCGTACCATTTATACGCAGGCTTTGAGAGGATGGTACCGAATCTTTTTACACTAATAATGTTTCAAGGTTCAGAAAGACCTCAGATCGTTGGAAGAACCGTGACCAAAGGCAGATAGCATCATTAACAGGAGACGACTTCGACCACCAACTCCTGTACTGCCTCAGCGGTTGCCCATAGATCTTTCTCCAGAGGAGTTAGAGTTTATGACACAACCTTGGCATCCGGTGACAGAAAACGCCAATAACATCCGGTTGCAAAAAACATTCAGTGTCCAGGTCCCTCAACTAGGATACCTGTAAGTACCCAATCACCACATTTGTTGTACTAATTCTTGGTGGGAGAAATTACAGATACCTATAAAAAAACAAATTACTGTCTTTAATAGGAATGAACCAAAAATCAACATCATTTCAAATATTGTCACATACCGCGGAATTTGGGTTAGTTTATCATTACTTAATATTCCGTAACAAAAACTATGTTTCGAAAAGAGGTCTCGGCTATTGTGTCATGTTGTAATTGTAACGCGGAAACGCCATCAACATCGCCGAGTCAGCTTCTCGAACCATAATAAATACCCGGAATATTGGGTAGTCGGGAGTCTAATCGAGTCTAGTCGAGTTTACGTTTTGGAAGTATCATTCGCTTGTGTAGTAAGAATCGTGGTTGTAAGATTGGAGTGTGACATGTGCCCTAATCGGATAATGACTGTCTCAATACAGTAAGTGAACTATCTAGTCATTTTAATAAACCTTTTTGTATAAACACACCCATGACTTTCAATCCCACCCTGTGACAATATTCTAATTAGACCTTGCAATTATTGACGAATTTAGCCGGCCTTGAGATAAGGTGGAACAATCCCTATTACTATGTCAAGTACATCTAAACAACGCGATAACAAGCGAGCTGCTCCTCCTCGTCGTCTTTCCGGATACATAATTTTTGAAAAAATGCTAAAAATCTTCAAGAATAGTAACTGAAAGCAGAAAATGTACATCAAGCGCATTGGAGTGGAGAGCCGCCAGTTGGCGGCAACGTGGGGCTCTCAACCCGGAATCCCGAGACGCCAAAAGAAGGCGACCCTCGCAAATCATCGCAGGGAGATGAAGACCAATAGGGCCATCCGCATTGCCCGTGCCGCCAACGTACCGCGGAGTAGAGGATCAGTAGGGAGGAAGCCTACGAGGCCAAACGCCAAACAAAGAAGGCTCGAAAAGACGCCTCCTCAAACAAACATGCGCAAAGTCGCACGGTGTGGTCTCGGTTCAGCCGAGATCTTTGAGGCCGTTAGGCCACGCCCCGCCCCTAACTATCGGAGACCTTAAATTGTTCGGAGTATATACTATTGAATCCAAAAATATATTTGATGTGAAATGATTTAATACTGCCAATTGTAACTTTGAATACTAATATAAGAAATATGTTTCAAGAAGTAATTAGACAAAAGATAATGGACTTTTAGAGCGAGATTTTAGTGATCTGTATAATACAAAAATCTCAATAATGTTACTAACTGTTGTTGTAAGTTGTTAAAATTTCTCATTTGGAATTGATGGAAACATCAATTACTACAATGCATCAAAAAGCTTCATCGTTTATAGAATTGTCACCAAGTGTAGAAAAAAAAAGACGCCAATAGTTAATGTTCAGAATGCGGACATTCACTGTTTTCCTTGGAGTGTATCTACTAATAGGACCGAAACATCTTCCTAACTCACATCCACACTGGTCGACACTCTTTAACCTTCCGTATATAAGTTGTGGGGTTGTGTTGTAACAGTATCAGTGTTTTCGTGTACCTATCGTGAATATAAGTTACTGTGCACATACAGCGTGTTCGGTAAATAGACGGCCATCGTTTTAGGAATGGTAGTGGTTACTACTATGGAGTGAAATCTCTTGTTAAATTTTTCCCAGCTACTTTCTTGTAGATGCTAGAGGCATCAAAAATTAACCAATCAGGGTTCAGGTCGAGTTTGTGGTTTGTAATAATGAATCCAAGTTAGCTGAGAAAAAAACTTTATAGCTACTGTCAGTGTGATAAGTTTTATTAATTGAAAGCAGTGGAGTTCGTTCATTTGGTTTGGCCTTAAATTGCAAAAATGGCCGGAAATTACAACTTTAGTGATTTAGCTTACATGCACTTTATCTATGGTCAAGTTGAATGCAACAGCAGAGCTGCAGTGAGGTTATATCAAGAAAGATTCCCTAATCGCCGCGTTCCCCATCGTAGTGTAGTTTCCAATGTTAACCGTCGGCTTCGCGAATTTGGAAATTTGAGGCCAATCAATGTGGACAGAGGTAGACCTGCGGCAGTTAATGCCGTGGTCCGAGATTAACAAATATTGGAAATTGTAGTTGCACTCATATCATATTAATCGCGAGAAGGCGGGAGTTTTGTGAATAGCTGTTGCAAAGGAATAATGAAGATTCACAATTCACATTTAACCTTTGTTTTTCAGACGAAGCAAACTTTTCAAGGAATGGGATGTTAAATCTAAGAATCCCGGAAAGTTTTACGAAAATGTAATATATTTGTGTTTATTATAATACCTACTTTTTTATTATTTAGATGACATTGAAACGTGTCCATTCAATCCAAACCATTTAGTGGTTTTGATGTACGAGGGAAAACCATATATGTAAGTGTCATAGAAATGAAAAAAAAAAGAAGAGGAGAAAAAAAATGAGACGGAAGAGTCCTGGGACCACTATAACGAGGTAAACTACTTTGCTTACCTCAAAGCAATTAGAGAGTGGTGTTAAGCCAAAATATTAACAACTCAACTGTTAGCTAGATTAAATTTACAAAAGTTGAATTAAATATCTTAAGTAAAATCACCACATCCCGAAAAGCCCTAAACCTCAGCAGTGTCTTAGACAATATTTAATGTGGGTCACCTGCTGTTAGGATTTACCTTATAAGGTAAGTTTATTTAGTCAAATTAATTTTGTAAAACGTTTAAAATTGTATACAGGTTTGAATTTGTAAATAACGTTTAGTTTTACACAAACGTGTGCTTTACTCATTTTGACCCTCTTCAATGGCGTCAGAACTAGGTCCTAATTTCGATAGAGTCAGGTTGCACTCGGCTGAAGACACAAAAATCACAGATTCAAGTTCGAAGCTGTTCAAAAATATGTTTTCCTTTCCATTGATAATAGTTATACTTTTATTTAAACACCTTGTGAAGTCCGTCTTTTAAGCATTATAGTTTTCCAATAAATAGTTGTAATGTGGTTGAAACTGCTGATACAGCCACAAGATTTTAAAGAAATATTCGTCTTTTATACGGAAGAGTTTTCTGTATATAAAAATGTGCAGGTCATTGATCAACGAGTGATAACATACATTAAACACAGAGCTTTAACAATAACCCCTGGAGTCACCCCCAAGTATGTATCATTTTTGAAATAAATAAACGCAGTTATGTTTGATTGAAAGCCAAGGCAAGTTCCTACATTACATAATAATTGAAATCAGTTAAACAATTGTTATTTGCATTATAACATCATAAGTAAAGGAAAGTACATGTTTTTCTTGACAAATCGTGATCTTTCTAATCGAGCGGCAACCAAGTTTCGCATTTCTCTGTACGCAGAACAATGAGAAGCTTAACTTTTTTAAAGAACTCATTACTAACACATTCTCCAGTTGGACGTCCATCAATATGGGAGGTCAGACTACGAGCTAATAAGGTATAACCGTTGGGTTACGCAAAGCAATCCGCTTAGCCCCCTACTTTTCAATATGTTGTAAGGCGAGCTACTTTATAGAATGGACGTTTCACCTGGTGGTGGTTCCATTAAAGTGTTTTTGTGAGAAATATTGACTTAAATTGTAAATTATTTCAAGAAATAAGAGAACTGCTTGCTGGCTGAAAATCAGGTAAAACCGAAAAGGTCTTGTGGATTCTCCAGATGTTCGGCATCGCTAGCAACAGTCATGAACCATAAAATAATTATTTCTCGCAATTATCCGTTGTTGAGGTCTATTGTTGAAATAATTTATAATTTAAGTCAACATTTCTTACGAAAATGCCAAGGACTTTCACGGATAACTAAGTCATTTAATTAAACTCGTTCCTTCCTCAAAATTCAAGACGGATCTATTAACATGTTCGAGACGATTGGCGCCTTCAGATACCTCTGCCATAACATCGAAGCCGTTGGCATTCAACATCCGAACATTCGTAACCTCGTTGCCTGGCTATTTATCCTCCAGATAGCACTAGACCAAAAAGATAAAGATTTTGAAACACCATCAGTTGCTTCGCTTAATTTTATTTTATAATGGTTATCTATTGTTGTGAGAATTACTATGTGGTTCATCGTACACGAGAGTGCCATTTGGAAATGGGGTCGTCCGATATTTCAACTTTATCGACAGATAGAATCAGTAAAAACAGAGGGTGGCTAATAAGTAGACCAACGAATCGTTTTAATATATGTGTAACTGTTCAAAATGAATTTACAATGCTTGAAGAAATTAGAAAACTTGGCATTTTTGTTGGATGCATAGGAGATACTTTTACCGAGCATGTGCATGACAATATTGAAAAGATTAATCCGGATGTTATTATTAATGATAAAGTAGATAATAAGGAGTCTTAGATTAGAATCTTCTTCCAGGTCATTAAACTGCTCGAGGTCAAGGCCACCCCCTCTCTCAAACTGTTTCAAAGCCAACCACTTTTAAGGTGACAAGTAGTAGATTATTTTAACAATTCTGTTGTATATAAGTAGTGGGGTTGTGTTGTAACAATATCAGTGTTTTCGTATTTTAGTTTTCGTGTACCTACATAACAATGGCTGTTAGAAAGGCAACCAATTTCAATTGTCTCGATAAGTTTTATATACATATACTCATATGTATTTGTATTTATTATAATACTTTTTTATTATTTAGAGAACATAGAAGTGTGTCCCTTATGCTAACTATCTAGTGGTTTGGACCAGGATGCAAAATTACATTTTCAAATGTCATCGGAATGAGGAGAAATAATAGGAGTCGTGGGACCATTACAATGAGATTAGCTCGTTTATCTTAAAAATAAAAAGAGAATAGAAGAGGAGAAGAGTAAAAAAAATGTGAAACAAAAAATAATTAATAAATGTTTAAATCGATACAGTTGTGTATTTAATAATAATAATTTATTTTACGTCAAAATAATAATACATGAGGTGAAAAATTATTTGTGCCAACAAAATTCCCCCTCAGAATCCCTCAAAAACTTCCTCAAAAAAAAAAAAACAATCGAAGCAAAAACGGTGTCTTACCACGTTTTATTTTTAGTGTTACAGGATCCGACGATAATCGTAGTCATTTTAAAACTAAAATACAACTGTATATTTATTTATAACAATCACTACGATGAGGTAAGCTACTTAGCTTACCTCAAAGAAAAAACGAAATCAGAAGAGAAGAAACTTAGAAAACAATTAGAGAACCTACAAATAAAAATACACGAGGAGAGAAGAAAAGCAGAAAGGGAGAGGAATTTGAAAGAGGAGAGTTGGGACCATTTCAATGAAATCAGCTATCTGGTCTATTTAAAAAATAAAAGGGTTTTGAGGAAGGAGAACAATTTTTTAAACAAAAATAAATGTTTAAATACATACAATTATGTATTTATTCATAACAATTATCATTAACTTGTTTAAACCTGTCTGGAGCATTTGTACAACCTGCAGTCAAGGTCATATATTCTCTCGCTCACTTTGTTAAGTGTTAAATACAGGGTGCGCCAGAACTCGCGCTTCAGAGAAAAATGCCATGTAAGGTGAGATACCAGGAACATGGAAAAAATGTTAAAAAAATTCTATCTATAAAAATTTCGAAGTTATGAGAGTTCAAATTTTGCACTTTGACCCTATTTATTTCTGTTGGAAAAATAATTTTCCAAGTTTTTTTGCTACAGGCTATTAGAAGAGGAAACAAGGAAGCTGTATCCTAAATTGTAACTCTGTTTAACGTTATTTATAGCTTTTATTGACAACATTTTTGTACCTTTACTAAATCATTATAAAAAAAACATATACAAGGTCATCAGTATCATTAAATAGACAAAAAATGTCATATATCAAAAAATAAATGTCAAAATTTTTTGACAGATAGAATTTTTTAAATATTTTTTTCATGTTCCTGGTATCTTATCTTACTTGAAATTTTTCTCTGGGGCGCGAGTTCTGGCGCACCTGTATATAGAATTCATTGCAAGTGCAATAGCAGTACTGATTTAATTCTACAAAAGTTAAGAATTTAAAAAAGTGAGTTTGTTCATGTCTCAGTGCAATAGTGTTCATTGTTGTGTTGCTGTGCTTGTTGAATTGGAGTTTTTTGCCTAAAAGGTTAAGTGAATATTTAACACAAGAAAAAATAGAGTTACTCCAAGATTCGCGTCCCTTATATTTGGGAAAAGAAAAGGTTGGAAAAGCACAGGCAGCACATTGCTTTGAATTCGAACGTGTTGATGATAAAATAGCAGGTTTGTAGAAGACATAATGTAAATAAACAATACAAAAACTTCTATTCATTTTATTTACAGTTAAGAATAGTGCGGAGGAGTAGAATCGGAGGAATAAAAATTATCTGACAAAGTTTTTTATTGAAAAAAATAGTGCTGTGTGTATGTAAAATAAACTTTAATTAAAGTTATATCATTGTATAAATAACATAGAGGGCAATTCAGATAAGATAAGCCTGGCGATCTGGCGATACAACCCAAAAAACAAATTTCATTTACGCCTTTGATCCAATTTAAATTAGGATTTGCATGTTGAATCCCAGTTATCATCTTATGTCACTCTGACATCAGCGCAGCAGTATACAGGATGCGTCATAACTCGCGTCCTAGAGAAAATTTTCAAGTAAGATAAGATATCAGGAACACGGAAAAAATGTTTAAAAAATTCCATCTGTCAAAAAATTTTGACATTTATTTTTTGACATTTGACATTTTTATGTCTATTTAATGATACTGATGATCTTGTATGTTTTTTTACAATTATTTAGGTAGTAGAGATACAGAAATTTTACCAATAAAATCCACAAATAACACTGAACAGAGTTACAATTTAGGATACAGTTTCCTCTTTTAATAGCCTATAGCAAAAAAACTTGAAATTTTTTTTTTTTTACAGAAATAGTCAAAGTGCAAAATTTAAACCCTCATAACTTATAACAGAAATTTTTATAGATAATTTTTTTTAACATTTCCATGTTCCTGGGATCTTTTCTCTGGGGCGAGAGTTCTGGCGCACCTGTATAAGTTGTATGGTTGTGTTGTAACAATATCAATTTTTGGTGTACGTATCGTGTTTATAAGTGTGCATATACATAACAATGACTGAGATGAAAAAACCATCCAAAAAACATCTATTTTCAATTGTCGGTAAATTTTACGAAAATGTATTTATTATAATACTGTTTTATTATTTAAATGACATTGAAGTGTGTCCTTACAATCCAGCAAAATAAAAAAACGACAACTACGCACAACAACATTCAGACTCTGTAAATTTTGTTATCAACATCTCATAACATCATCAAGAGAGTGTACTGTATACTATACAAAAATTCATAAATAAAATAACAATAATAAACGTATTTTTAAAAATGAAACATGTGCATTTCATTTCTTTATCTAGTAAAATAATAAAAGGAATACCACGTCAACCAAATTTACAATGTACCAACA